TATATATATATATATATATATATATATATATATGTATGTATATATATATATATATATATATATATATATATAAATATATATACGTCTGAATATATACAAATAAAGATAGAACGCTAATCAGGAAGCTACTTCACACGTGTGCCTTTCATGAATTGTCGTTGTTTACAATCTGCCAAACAATCAATCCATTCATTATTCAGTACACATAGTTTGGCAAAAATGCCGAGAATAAAATTTCTGCGAATACAATGCATAGGCCTACTATACAACTATGGATGGCAAAAGGCCGGATGGCAACGGGCCTACGGTGGCAAAGAACCGGGTGGTAAAGGGCCTATGGTGGCAACGGGCCGGGTGGCAAAAGGCCGGGTGGCAACGGGCCTAGGTGGCAAAAGGCCGGGTGGCTAAAGGCCGGGTGGCAAAAGGCCTAAGGTGGCAAAAGGCCGGGTGGCAACGGGCCGGGTGGTAACGGGCCCTGTGGCAAAAGGCCGGGTGGCAACAGGCCATGTGGCAACGGGCCTAGACCCCTATATTTGGGGGCGTGTATCATTTGTATCAGAAGATGATCTGGCTGGTTTGAATTTGTGATAAAGCAACAGTCTTCTGTGGTCAGATGTATGATATTAACATTTATGACGAGAGACCGTAGGTTCGGTTTCTAACTAAAAATCTTTTTGTTAAAGGTTGAGCTCGATACATTCATAACATCATCTCCTTTTTTTGAGCTCGGTTTATTATTGTCCATATATTTGCTTATATGTGAATTCCACACTCCTTTGCACACACGTATAGAACAGCACACGTTTTACTAACTTTTATGTAGGCCTATATCCGTATCTAACGATATGATACTCACCTTGGTAGCAAGAGGACGCAGGTTCGAATCCCGGAAACATTCGTTTGAAAGGCTATGCTTGATACTATTATTATTATTATTATTATTATTATTATTATTATTATTATTATTATTATTATTATTATTATTGTTTATATCATTATTCTTATATTATAATATTATTACTTTTATTATGATTATTATTATTATATTATTACTATATTATTATTATCATTATTATTATTTATATCATTTATATTGCGCATTTTTTTTTTGTAGATACAAAGTGCTTCTTTTCCCAGGCCATTGGGTCCATACATTAAATGTAACTGGTAATCAGCGCAGGAGCAGGCAACTCCTCCAGGTACTTATTTATACTCCTGGCTAGAGAGAAGAAATGCAGATAAAGTGCCTATCTTGCTCAAGGATACAAGCGAAATTTTTGTAATTCCTGTTTTAATTTTGATTTCATACCTTTAGTTTACATTTTCAAAATTTAAGCCTATAGTTAAAACTTTTTGAGTTAAGCTATTGGCTTTATTTACATTCCTGGTTAATTTGTTGTGCTCTTCTTTATATGATTTGATTTTATATTAGAGTTGTCTACTTTTGTATTTTAGTTGTTATTGTCGGACTGCACCACACGAGTTGTGTGTGAAAAGGTGAAATGTCAATAAATAAATAAACAGCAAGGCCTTGAAACCCCAAGCTCGAGGTCGGAACCAAACCGTTCCCGCTGCGCCAAACTGCTTATTGTTCTATATTATGTTTACGGTGCTACGCATCAAACCTAATTTGGATTACATACTTTATACATACACACAAAACATTTGATTATGTCATATTTACTATACACTTTCGTTTTATTTTCAGGTTTACCTACCTACTCGTTGGTGCTAAACAGTCATATGCTGATCAAGGAAACCATGACTTGTAGAAAACTAAAAAGGGTAGGGCTGAGGGGAATTAATAATCTCGTGCTTCTCTTTATGACAATATTGATACCATTTGCACTATTGATAGCTTTATCTGTCACTAAGACGAGTGTTGATTTCGATGAAATTCGTCAAGTTAGACGCCAACCGTTAAAAGCAGACGAGACTAATTACGTCTCGCCGAACATCAGACAAGATAAATATTTTCCAGCATTTCCATCAGAAAAATCAAATGGATCTATGCAACTGCTTACGGGAACGAGATTGAATGGAGGGCGCTCTTCAGGAAGGTTAAAATTAAAGCAGATATATAACTTAGTAGTGAAAGGTAACGCTTATCAACAGGTTAAAGGCAACAGGGAATATGAACCCGCCCAACGTGAGAGAAAACTCCCAAAAGTAATTATCATTGGTGTAAGGAAGTGCGGTACGAGGGCGCTAATCAATATGTTATCAATGCATCCTGATATCGTACAACCTTTGAATGAAATTCATTACTTCGATTTTGATTCAAACTACGCAAAAGGAATTCCATGGTATCTTAACCAAATGCCGTTGTCGTCCAAACACCAAATTACCATCGAAAAGACACCAGCATATTTTACTTCCAAAAAGACTCCAGAAAGGGTCCGTCATATGAACGCCTCTATAAAAATTGTTCTGATAGTCCGACAACCTACGATTCGAGTTATTTCCGATTATATGCAAGGTGCTCTTAAACATAAAGAAAAACAAAAAAAAGATTTTTCCGAACTTGTTATGGACAACGGTGAGGTCGATAAATTTTACAGGCCCGTTCAGACGAGTATTTATTGTGTGCATCTAGACAGGTGGCTACATTATTTCAACCGAAGTCAGTTTCACATTGTTGATGGAGATGCGTTGATAAATAATCCGTACAAAGAGGTTAAGTTAGTCGAACGGTTTCTCGGAGTTTCAGATTATTATTCCCCGGATAATTTCTACTTCAATGAAACTAAGGGCTACTTTTGTTTAAGATGGGAAAATTCATCACGATGCCTTGGAGAAAACAAAGGGCGAAGATCAATATATCCGAACGTTTCTGAGCCACTAATTGCCAGGCTGAACGAATTTTTTGGCCCATATAATGAAATTTTTTATAACCAAACGAGACGAAGATTCAAATGGGAAACAAGTTGAGAGTAGTTATCTTTGCAATAAATCATTCACTGTGCATCGTAGTTCCTTAGTTATACTGTCGAGACGAATGAATCGCTTATTTACTGAGCGCCGTAGTTCCTTAGTTACACTGTAGACGCAGATGAATCGCTTATTACTGTGTCACGTCTTATACTGTCGATGCGGATTAATTGCATTCACTGTGAATTGCTATAGTCCATAGCTACTGTCGAGGCAGATGAGTCGAACCACATGGTTTGTGTATGACGATCTGTGGACAATTTGCAACACCAACGAAACACTTCACTGAACATTCATCAGCAATGCAGCCGTAAGGTAGAATTTGGAAGTAGTGAACAATTTGCTGTTCCGGGAGTATGACCTTTACCTAAATACTCATTACTAAGATTAATTGCAATTGCAGTTGGTTTTAATCGAAAACACCCCTCGATAATATGCTAAAGTGCCTTTCTCACAAGCGAAGTAACGTGATATGTCACGTGATAGTACATAATAACGATATCAGCGTTTGCACCCGTGTGCATTTGCATGCAGATCACTGCCAGTGACAGGATTGAGATCGTATAATGGTTGACAAAAATTGAAAGGATGAATGAATGCAATGAATTATGACATAAAATGCACGTTTAAAAGGAGAAGTATAAATATAATAATGCTTTTATAATGTAGGTTTTAATACCAAAATTGTGTAGAGTCCGTCTTCAGATTTTTGATGTTTCTTCATACAAATAAATGTAGGCCTATAGTCATATTATTTATACCAAAGACTATACTGGGTTTGTATTGTTCAGATACAGCCCTACGTGCAAAAGTAGTATATAAATTATCGTCATGTTATCACTTCTAACAGAATATAAAATATTGTATTACCTGTACCTGTATTAGATTTCCTATATTTATTTTATGGCGCCCTCATCGTTAAAACATAGAAATTGTTAATAATTTATTAGGTATAATAACAATGTTATGATAGTATAAAGAATTGTGCACATTGCCTTTCTGCTCTTCTATGGATGTGTTTCTACTGAATATCGAGAAAGAGACGGTTTTCTTATCATTGTTGAGTATCGGATTAGCAAATTAAGAACCACGTTGCAACTAAGTTTTGATTTTACATGAAACGGTTCCCGGACTGATACGCTTAAAATGACCTTAATAAAAGCTTTAACAAAACTATATCATTTTCACGCGACTACCAATAATAACAAACAACGATGATTCATCCTGTCCGAATACTAATATGTCGGTATTTAAATAAAACAATGGTTAAACTTTCGTTCTTACAGTACTTTGCAAGAAGATAATATTTCGTTGTGTTGTGAACAGAAGTTTAACGCTTGTTTTAATTATTCCTCCTAATAGTAACACATAATATCGTTCGTATGCTATATCAGTGATAGGCCTACTGTATTACTGGCATGGAGGAACTTAAGAATATGTCCAAAGGTAAAATCATGTAGGAGGCCTAAATTATTGATATGACAAGTATCTTACAATGTCTGATAAAAATTAACTCCCAATTACGTCACTTTTATTTCACCATAATAACATAAATCATAAAAATAATACATTTTTAACATATAACTTTCAACATTCTACTAGTACTAGTTATAAGCCTAGTCTACTGGCTAAGTTGACCTTAGGTCGAATTAGGCTGCTATTTATGTTGCAGACTAGAAATTACAAATTGCAAGTGAAGTGCTGCGAAGTACAACTATAAATGTTCTTCGAACAAAATTATTAATGCGAGTCAAGTGAAAATAATGAATAATAAAAATAAAACAAATAATATGAGACACGACCCATTGTCTATATTAGAACACTTCTCATTGGGTAACAAAGTCGTAATTTTTCATTTTTGTCAAAAAGTGTCTATAGTGGTGAATTATGATTTAGGTTTTTTTTTTAAATAAAGTTTCAAAAATTTATATGTATGTGGAAAATGTGGTTGATTACCAAAGGTTACAATTTTTATTTTGAAGACTGCATGGTCTAGGAAGTGTACGTTTTTTTATGGAGCAAGTTTCCAAGGGCGGGTTTTCTAGGGGCGAGTTGACTGCCAAAGAGTGTTGCCAAAGTGCGAGCCAGCGTGTTATTTGATCACAAGTGCGAGACATCGCAAGTGTGAGCCAGCGAGCCATGACGTCACGACAATAGATATGAGACGTTACTCGAGTTGTGCGAGGTATCGGCTGAGATTTGTGGAGTACAATTCAAAAAACAACTATAGGTCTAATAATGAATTATTGTGATGTTAAATAGACAATGTTAGCTATCAAGGAGCGACGTTGTTTTTCATATGGGACCTTCGTCCCTTCAAGGCTAGGCCTATACCTATGGGGTGCCATACGCAGCAAAAGTCCATGTTAAAATTAAAAAATTTAATTGCAAAATTCAATGTCTATTTATCAAAACGTAGGCATAAATTTCTCAAAATGTAGATCTAGTTTCCCAAAATGAAGTTCTAATTTTTCAAAACGTAGTTCAAATTTTTCCAAATGTAGTTCTAATTTCTTTAAAATGTAATTCAAATTCAAAAATTAGGTCTGACTTGATCAAATGCCCTCTCCAAATTCTATTCCAAAACGTAAATAAAAAACCAGGCTGGTTTGAAATGCATTTGACAACAACACTAGAAATGGACTTTTGCTGTGTATGGCACTAGACTTGCGAAATGTAAATCAAAACTAATCAGCCAAGCATGACGTGGGCCTCTTCCATTAATGATGGGGGAATCAGTTTTCGCCGCAGTCCAATGCTGTGAACAACGCTTCCCAGTGCGTCTTCTTAATGGTCAGGGTCAGGGACGTAGCCAGGATTTGATGTGTATAAGAGACAGAGAACAAAACTGACAAAAGCTTATAAAAGATTTAACAATAATTAAGAAATCCTAACCTTATTCTGAATCATGAAGCAGCAACTTAAAGTGAAAATTGCAATATAAATTGTATTATAAATAAGTGCAACAATAATTATATAATAAATCAACAACCTGATCCAGGAATTCGAAAGAGAGGTGAACCAGGGAGGGACTTTCACAGACCGAGGAAACACCCACCTCAGCACCACCGTGGTTGGGGTTGAGGTTAAAAAATTTAGGGTTAGGGCATCTCTAGATGGCCGGAAATTACACTCTCACACTTAAATTTGAATGTATTTTCCTTTTTTTTTCTTAAAAAAAATGAAGGGAGGGGGTGGCGAGCCTTGAATCCTCTGCTCAAAACATTTTTATCCAGAATAGTCATAATCACGAAAAATTGACATGAAAAACGAGATCGACATCCTTAAAACATCAGGAGCCGACTCGATAGAGTTTAATGTCATATCCAGGGAAGGGCGCAGATCTGTTTTGAAAGGTGGCGGGGGAGGACATTTTGTGAGTCAACACGCACCTCAGACCCACCATGGTTGGAGCTGAGGTGAGAAAATTTGAGGAAACTACCTCTAGATCGACGTTCCGCAAACTATGGTCCGCGGCCCAAATTTGGCCGCGAAACATTTTTAGAGGGCCGCGAAGCCGTCTGGAAATTGAAAAAAAATAACAAAGAGACGTTTTATCATGGAGAGAATAGTTTTTAATAAAGCCGCTTCACTGTTACAGCGAATGAGTCGCTTGCACACGCTGCTGAAGTGCCAGATGATGCGTGCTATTTGAATAATTATAAGCGGTTTTGTGTCTTTGCCCACTCGGGAG